CCCCCCACCCACCCAACCTGTCCCCCAACTAGTGCAGTGCTAGCTGTCTAAATAGCTACAGACCTTTTTCACTTGGTTTTTCCTTTATAAACGCATCAGAACGGATTTGAATGATATTAGAACTACAATTAGAGGAACTGTCCTCTTGGTCTTTCTCAGTGCTGCTGCTAAGCTCAACCAGGGCAGTTCTATCCTCTGCGCTTCTATCAACATCCATGTCTGCTCCTTCGTCGTTGTCCATGGTCAAACATAAATTCAGACTTGTAAGGCAAGCTAGGCATGCATTGTCTAGTTTTCCACCAGTAGCACCGTACTGTGTCTCTTTTTACACACTTCAAAGAAACAGTTTTCTTTCGTTCATTTTGAGTCTARAACTGAAAGATCGAAATCCATTTGAAAGAATAAATGAAAAATATAGCCAGAGAAAAACAATCTCTGGCAAATGTTTTTGGCTTGAACAAAAACTGATTAAGAGTGAGGRAAATTTCATTGATTGAAAGCGAAATCTGCGACATCTTTGTGTCAGGTTGATCTTTTTCAACTCGGGTTTGCGATAATGAATGAAAATTTAGGATAAAAGCGTAAATATAGCGATCAGAAAGGTATAAGAGTTGAAATCCAGTTCTATAGCAAGTTCTCGTCACCTGATTGTATTTCCCGCTTTTCTTTTGGCGGTAATATTATGGTCCTGTTTTCATCAAGAAACTATGGTTTATCCTTCATCCGCCGCCATTATTCGTTCCTTCGAGGCTCTCTAACTGTGGGGTGCACCGACGTCACACAGGGGTTTATTTGAATAACCCAGCATAGAAGGGATAGAAGGAGTACTAGAAGGTACACTGTTAAACCATTAATATTATTTATTTTCAGTTTCACTGAACTTAAARGTGAATAAAGTCTATATATTGGCTATGATGACTTCTGGGGTGTGCGGGGGACGGGGGACAGGGGGAGGAGAGTGGAGGGGGAAATGACGATGAGAGTGGCGGCGGGTGTAGTGCAGGAGAGAGATTTCGTTTGGGATACAAGAAGAGTAGGCCATGTGTGCAGAGTTCATTAGGGAAAAAGGAAAGGAAAATTTCAAAGATAGAGAAAAACGTCTGTTGAAAGCCAGGCCGAAGTGAGTTTCTGTGTTAACAAGACGTCCTATAGGCGTTCACTGGGTTGCCTGCATCATRCACATAGACCTAGAAGTMGTAGCCTAGAAGCTGAAGAAGTTTGCAATGTTAGTCAAAAGATAATGGAATGTTTCACAGAAGTTTAACTCGTTTGCACAATAACGCAACAAGGTCAAATATCCCAATGTTCTCAGTCACGAATCACCAATTAATTTTCTTTTTTTTTTTACCATCCTTTGTTATTATATTATTTACTGGGATGGCTGTTTATTTCTCTTTTCATACTAGTAGGATGCAGAAATTGCGCACTAGTACCCAGAAGTCTTCACGGCACCACCTTATATGACTGATAACGTCTCCGGATCCAACTTATACAGACTTATAAGCAACCGACTAGGAATAAATCTTTTTTCACTTATTGTCGAAGATCTAAATCTAATAAAAAATGGATAAAAAAAGAAAAATCTTATGTCTAATGTGGATAAGATGGGATTAGAACCCACCAAAATAAATTTGAAAAATCGATTCCACTTTGCCATACCCCCGAGACATCCGCAGAGCTGAGGCGTCGTATGGACTTCGGACCTGACGGCGATTAAATCCTTCTGTCCTTGGGTGCACGAATTACGCAAGAAAATGTTCTAGCCAAAGCATCAGGGGAGAGACCAGCCGKCCCCCAGACCATATCGGCTAATCCCTTGCATCTCTGCCACGCACGGAATCGGTTGAAAATATAATGTTAAAAAGTCTAGTCTGTTCGGTGCATTGTTTTCACGGCTATTGTTGTGCTGATTAATCTGGAACCGTGGTCGAGTGGATAAATCGTTTATCGTACAAAATACTGAGTCAAGCTCGTCTGAGGAGGGTTAGCACTTGGATGGGTGACCAAAACATTGTACCTACTCACGCTTTTCCTCCTTTTTTCCGTTTGTTCTTTTTGATTTTCAAAATAATAGAATATAGAATAGTGAACCTTTTCTATTTTTGAGTAAATTATTCCTATCTACCCAAATCCATCAAATTGAAATCTAGAAGGGGAAAGTCCCTCAAGAATAAAATGAAACTGCGGTCCATTTAGTATTTTCATATAGGAGAGTAGATGACCGGCTGCCAATTCCATTTATTTTTCAAAATCCAGTTCAGTCTATATGATGACACAAACCAAACTTGAAACTCGAACAAACCTTTGAATGCTTTCTACAATCGTTTATAGCGCTAGTGTTAAATCTCAAGTACCAATCTGGCAAGTAAAAATGACTTACAGCTAAAATCGTTGCATCGCTACCCGCCGTTTCAAAACCCTGATTGGATTTTGGTCAATCATCTTGGGTTTATGCAAATGAAGTCTACGAACACGATCGCCCATGGTCGGCCTTTAGATTTAACTTAATATATTTGGCCAAGGTTTTTTTTATTTTGTTTAAAAAAAAATGRAATTCCTAATATCTGATGAGGTTACAGGGGAAACCCCTCATGTCTGGTTTGGTTTGTCATGAATATTCAATGATCCACGTGCAGACCCCGTGAGTGGGATTTTACTACGAAATCAAAGTTTTGACAAGGAGGTATCGTAGATGTAAATTTTTGTCAAAAATAGCTAGTTTTGGACGTCTTCTGGCAATCTGCATGTAAAAATACAATGTTTTTTTCTTATTTTGGGGAAAATAATAATTTGTTTTTCAAAACATTCAGAAACCTGTTTCATCCGGGACCCATACTGGTCAAACCGGGAAAAGCGGTGCAAACTGGCTGCGGTGTTGCCTACAACTGAACCGAACTGAATGACAGAATAACGACTGACTGGGCAAACTAACCCAAATTACTACCCCAAAAAAACACCTTCAAACTTTACCAAGACAACTATTAAGAAGCCAAATGCCTACAGCGATGGCCACGATTGAACAAGCCCCACAGCTGCTGGATTTTTCGCAAAAGCTCGACATTAATCTGTTGGATAGTGTCGTCTCGTGGTTCTACATGTCCCAGGGTCCACAGGTTGTTCGCTTCGTTACTGCTTTTATTTATTCCAYAATTCGTCTTCAACGAAGGATTAAAAAACAAGATGAATATGAGTGTTAACAGGGGATGTCTTTACTYTTCAGCAAAAAGTGGCAGACCAGATTCTCACTCAGTTGAAACAGCATCCTGATGCGTGGACAAGAGTAGACACTATCTTAGAATTCTCGACAAATCAACAAACCAAAGTAATAAAGCTTTAWACAAAAATATCATCCTACTAATTCGAATTATTTCCAGCTGATTCCTCTACATTTATGCGTATAACATTTGTTTCTATCCTCAGTACTTTGCACTTCAAATACTAGAAATGGTTATCAAAACTAGGTGGAAAATTTTACCGGAAGAGCAAAGAGAAGGTCAGCTCATTCTCTGGAATTCTTATACTCATAGCAATAAAACAAACTTTAAAAACATATTTAAAAGGTTGAAATTTTGCTCTTTTATTGTCTAGAAAGATCAATGTTATGTTCTATACTTATACAGATATTATTATTATTTCTTACCACAGGAATCAAGAAATACATCGTAGGTTTGATAATCAAAATTTCATCAGATTCGAGCGAACTCGAAGTAAGCTTACATTCTTATTCTTWCATTTATTTTTATTATTAATATTCGAGTGATTTTATTAGTTGATCAAATAAAAACTATATACTTTTATTTATCATGTCTTCTTCTTTTTTCAGAAAGAGAAAACTTATCTTGGCAAGCTTAACATGATTTTAGTGGAGGTGAGATGAGGTCTTGCAAAATTATCGAGTCTTCCCGCCAAAAACTTTTACCTCTAAATATMTGCCTCAACCTTAGAAACCCCTAAATCAAAGGGTTTTTAAGGTTCTTAGAAAAGATTTTCCTTCTTCTCAAGTCCAAGTTTGTTGTTTTGAAAAATAAAGATTAAAATTATAATTTCAATTGTTTTTGCTTAGGTTTAATCCCACTGTTGTGCAAGAAAATTAGAATATTTCGTCAGAGKAGCATGTCAATTATAAAACCTTAAGAGAAATGTTATATTTAGATTGGCATGTAATGGATTTTTTAGAATATTTTTATACCACCTAATATGGGTAGTTTTGCATGTACTGGAATTGAGAGAGGAATTCTATTCAAATTCAAATTTTGATGTGCAAATTCATATCCTACGATAATAATAATAATAATAATTTATTATTTATAKAGAGCAAAATTATTAAGATATATGATCTAATGTGCTTTAATAATAGCATGCTACATATTATACTATGATAAATATTTTAATGCATGCAATAATGAAGCATTGTTTTATATATGACAAAAATAAGAAGGCCATCCATGCCAATTCACTATTTGGCTGAGTGATTTAAGTGTTAGAGTTGGGATAGACATCATAATGATCATTTGGAGGCAAGGGTGCTGAGTTGGAATCTCCCGAAAAAAATTTTCTAAGTGAGGAAAGCCAAAGTCCCACTGGGAGTTCGGAAAACAATGAAATAGTTGGTTACGGAATGCTCGAAAATTCTCTTTCCTAATATGGTTCAAGTATTATATTCAAAAAGCYATTATTTTAAGATTTACTTCTATTTGGAGCTGAAATTCCTTTTTCAAACGGAATCTACTTTGCAATATTTACCTTAGTATCTTTGAGGCTTTTGCATTTAGGAATATTATTGAATGTAAAATTATGGATAAAATGCRTAGATTTTGTGAAAACATGACGTTTCAGCTATRACTGTTGATAGCCTTCATCAGAATGTCAATATTTACCTTGGCTCTACCAGGCCAAAAATTATTTTAGATTTAAATATATCATTTGCCTTTTAGTTTTTTAGATGTAGTCAATTCATAATGATTAAATAATTGCTTCAGTTATTGTTTTTTGTAATTTTTGATTGTTAAGGTTAATCAATTTTGTTTTTTGTTGTAGATTTTAAAGCATGAATGGCCGACAAAGTGGCCAACGTTTATTTCTGACCTTGTAGGAGCAAGCAAAGCTAATGARTCCCTCTGCCAAAATAACATGACTATTTTAAAATTGTTGAGGTAAAATATCATTGTCATTCACCCAGAAGGCATATGAACATTATTTCAGAATAGAGTGTAAACAATCAATCTGTAGAACAGTTTTAAAAAAAGAAATTTGGTGCGTAAAGGTTGAAGTTATTGTCATTTTAATGTGACACTCATTAGTCACATAATCTTGTTGCATAGTAGAAATACTTTTAAGGGAGAAAGGGAAAGGAAAACCTGCAACCAGGCTTGGAATAGAAAATAAAATTAGCCAGACAGTTTTCTTTCTTTCTTTCTTTTTTTCTTTTTTTTTTTTTTTTTTTTTTCTTTCTTTCTTTATTTTTTGAAGGACAAAATTAATAATCTTGGTGGAGCAATATTTCCCTCTTCATTTTTTTCCATTTGGCAGTTCAAAAGTGTTAAGCCTGCCAGTAGTAAATTTGTTATTGGCCATTGCATTTTGGCCTCTATTTTGAGCCATTATTTACTTTTTTCATATTTTGTTACAGTGAAGAAGTCTTTGATTTTTCGAGTGGCCAAATGACGCAGACCAAATCTAAGCATTTGAAAGACAGGTATTAAACAAAACTTGTTTAAGGKTGTGATTTTTTTATTGACTGACAAAATATTTTTATCTTTTTTTCACCCATAGTATGTGTAGTGAGTTCTCTCAAATATTTACCCTTTGTCAATTCGTGATGGTAAGCCAATGGACATTWATTTTTTTAGCCAATAAACATATGCTTTCCACAAAACTTGGAAGCAAAGAGGCTCAATCCCACGTATGTTTATAAGTCTATTAAATTCCCAATCTTGCAGAATAGTTTCCTGTGTTAATATATTGATGCTATTTAGATTAAAATCACATATATRTATACATTGTGATGATGTTATCTCATGCTAAAGGGTATTATACTTTTATGTTTCATAGGACAATTCTCAGAATGTAACTCTTGTGGAGTCAACTTTAGAGGTACATCTAAACATCCTCTCTTTTTTTCTTTTGCTATAAAACTCCTTGATGACACTGCTTTTTCTTTTCATATTTTTTTAAACTGTTACCTTTTTAAAACAGTACAATGTTTTTATTTTATTCTCGCAATATTCAAAAATAGCACACTCAATATTAGGCACAGATTCCAGGAGTATGTCAAATGTTGGATTTATTCAGGCTCTAAAGCTCCATCTCTAACACTATTTTTGTACTTAAAAAAAGCATTTAAGTCTTGAGATGGTTTCTTTATGTCTGTATGCCTTGTTGATTCCTTTTTTCAAAGAGATCACCTTCATACTTATAAACCACCAAAAGGATAAACCACTCTCAGACTCTTTCTGCCCTCTGAAAATTGTATTCGCTTATTATAAGTACTGGTGTTTACTCAAACATGCACCTTTTTTTACCTAATAGACCCTGCTCAAATTCCTGAACTGGATTCCCTTGGGTTACATCTTTGAAACTAAAGTTATCAGTACACTAATATACAAGGTAATATAAAACTAGTAAACTCAATGTTAATTAAAATTTTACTTATTTTAAATAGCATTCATTTYTTTGGAATGGTGCATTCATTGATAATAACTCTCTTTTCTTTTCCAGTTTTTRAATGTCCCTTTGTTCAGAAATGTAACGTTAAAATGTCTGACTGAAATAGGTGAGTTTGAAAATGAGTTTTTTAAGTAGTTTTAAGGGGAGCACGGGTGTTGTAAGCCACTAATGCACCACCTCTCACCGATGCAACCTTGRATCGAGTGCCGTCTGCCTTGGTGATGTGAGTAGAGTTTTTTGATGGATCTGTCATGTGCTTCAAGGGTTTTTTTTTTCAGATTCTCCGGTTTTCCTCCCTCCTCAAAAATCGACTCTTGCTCTTTGGGCTTGTTTGGAGCCTATTCTCTTGAGATTGATTGATTGTCCCATTAGTAGCCCCAGCAGTGTAAAAAAAAWTTGTATTTATTGTAGTTTATTACACATAATTGTGGCTAACCCCAAGCAATACTAAACTTAAGTATTATTCCAAGGCCTGTGCAGGTGGTGTTGGGTGTCTTCATCATTTCACTGTTGTTTTTCTTCATTTTTGTTTCAGCTGGTATAAATGCCAGTCAGTATGAAGGACAGTTTGTCGATTTGTTTTCCCTTACTATGGCACAACTCAAACAGGTATACCTATAATCAGTCAAGATCTCTCAAATAAGAGTYTGACAGCTCAAACCATTGCTATTTTTAATGGATCTCTTGTTTTAATACATTAAGAGTTTTCCTTTCAAAACCCTTGAGAATATGATTCATTGTTTGAGTTTCATCCAAGTTAATGTGTCTTAAATGACACATGGTCC